CCATCCCTTTAAATTCATCTCGTGATCTGATTCGAACAAATTAGGTCGACAGGCGGTCACTCGGATCAGAGTTACTTGTGAGGTTAAACGGTGTTTATGTTACGGTCAATCTGTCAAACCAAAATTTCAGTCATTGGTCAAATTACTAAAACGATCAGTAATTGGTCAAAAGACAGTGTAGACTGGATGTGTCTTTTGACCAAATGACTGATCGTTTTAGTCATTTGACCAAATAACTGATCGTTTTAGTCATTTGACCAAATGACTGATCGTTACAGTCATTTGGTTTGACAGATTGACTGTAACATATACACCGTCCAAATAATGATGCAAATGATCAGCAATTTGCCTGTATCATCCGCGAAACATACGGCCCATGCTCACGGGTTGTATTTAAGCCACATATTCGAGCAGACAGTACATTTATGCACTCATCAAATTGAGTAGGTATTTTCCGTTGTTGAGGATGGCAAAAATTCGTTAATCTGCTGTCAAGCTTTTGCAATTGAAATGGCTAAATGAATCAATCAGGCATTCCGAAATAGCATCAACTATGGTGATGTTTCTTCCCCCACCAGCGTTAAGCATCTTGCGGTCCGGTTGAAGCGGTAGTGCCACGTACAAGGAGAGGTTTAACAAACTACAAAATAAGATTATGAATTATCGACGATTAACCACACGTCATATACACACAACCGAAGGTTTATCTCATGAGAGGGTTGACAACATTCTGTAGACTGAGAACAGAACATTTCAGTATGCTGGGTTCGAAAGCTTCTAAATTCTCATGAGAAATCATTGAATTTTCTGTCCCATTTGACAGCAATGTGATTGGCAAGATTAAGGAAAAGCATGATAACTATGCGGACATCGCCTTTGAAATGTCTCGCTTGCATCCCTGTCGTCAGGCTCCCCATTGTTCTCAGTGCCCTTAGTTTTGTACCTCCTGATCTCTTGGCGCAGATCAGGAGAGTGCCCGGGTTCTCCACCGGGAGCACAGCCCTTCTGACACTCCGGGTAATGCAGAAGGCTGCAGTGTTGGGGAGTCTACATATTCTCCGGAAAGTTCTTGGTGGGTTCGACTAGGCAGCGTTTCCTGGGAGAAGTCCCATTTGCTGTCTGGGCTGCGTGTAGAGGGGACAAGGGCCCGAAGCTGATGATGAGCCTTACCAGCCTCACTGTGCCAGGATCACCCGAACCCTCTCTGCGGCATTTTCATCTTTAATCTGTAAAGAATAATAATGCCTGTGGCTTCGACCCTGAACATGTCCATGGAGTTATTGAGCATCTTGTGGAAGATCTTGGAATGCGAGTTCGGCACCAGCTCCAGAATGCCCAGATTCAAGACAACCTTCGGGTCGAGTATAAAACTCACTTTAAGAAAATCTGGAGCTCAGAGCTAAATGCTCGAAACAAGGTCAAAGCCACCAAAGCCACCAATACTTTTGCCAGTTTTGTCCTATTCCTTTGGAGTAGTTGATTGGACAAAACACGATATCCAGAGTCTTCTGGATGTCGGGGTTTGATTAGTGTGGAGGCTCTTCAAAACACCTTTGCACATATTTATTTATCGGATGATCCTTTGGTGATGCATGTCAAGACTCATGATGAAAGCATGGAATTCCACAGCTATTTTAAGCGTGCCAAGGTTGATGGACAGAATCTGAAATTTGAGGTTGTTTTTGTAGATGGTTATGTACTGCTGGATCGTACAGCCAGGTGAAGTCCTTCACCAAGTCTGCCCAGAGTCGGTCATTTGTGGAGAAGCTTTCTGAGAAGCCATTGCATCATGCAGTGTGTGAAACAGAAGAGCCATCAAAACGACTCCTTCGCCTGGATGAAGTCGGCTGGTCTTAAATGTTAAACAGAGGGCTTCCGTTTTGCTACAGAAACTGTCCAACACCTTGTCAATGGATGCCCATCCTTGGCACACATAGCATATCTTAAAAGACATGATGGCATGGGTCGTTGCTTCTACTATCGTCTTCGACATGCCTGTGGCTTTGACTCCGAGGTCCATCCATGGTACAGCCCTGAACATGTCCAGGGCGTCATGGAAAATGACAGCTTTAAACATCTTTGGAATAGGACAATATTCAGCCTCAGAAGAATTCCAGTTAACAAATCTGATCTTGTCCTTTTTCATAAAGCCAATGAATTTATTTATATCATTGGATTTTCTGTCCCTCTCGACAGCAATGTGATTGGCAAGATTCAGGAAAAGCATGCTAAGCATATGGACTTCGCCTTTGAATGTCTCGCTTGCATCGTAAGTACACTGGCGTCAGACTCCCCATTGTTCTCGGCGTCCATGGTTTGGTACCTCCTGATCTCTTGGCGCAGATCAGGAGAGTGCCTGAGTTCTCCACCGGGAGCTCGGCTCTTCTGACGCTATGGGTAATACAGAAGGCTAAAGTGTTGGGGATCATATTCTCCGGAGAGGTCCCATTCACTGTCTGGGGTGCGTGCAGAGGGGCAAATGCCCTGAGCTGCTGCTGAGCCTTACCAGCCTGACTTTGCCTGGATCACCCGAACCCTCTCTGCTGATGTTGGCATTGTCACGTAAGTACGCTTGAAGTGTGTTCCATAACACAGCTCTTGCTCTTGTTCTATCTCCGTGTGTGACAGTACATGTGACTGGGACAGTAATCAGAAAGTGGACATAGATCGTAATGTCCTTCTAGGCTGATAGGGGGTGATGAGCTCTTGGATTTATTCAGGAGCAAGGCCATTTATCGCCTTGAAGACAAACAATGGGAGTTTGAATTCAATCCTATCCCTGATTGGTAGCCAGTGTTGTTCCTTACGTACAGGTCTTACGCTCGTACTTCTTTGTATGGGTAATTACTCTGGCTGCTGAGTTTTGTGTTTGCTGAAGCTTGTCCAAAATGTTGCTTCTGCATCCAAACAAAACGTTGTTGCAGTAATCAAGCCTGGACGTTGCAAAAAGCTTGAAGAAGGTATTTCTTCATGTATTGGGATATTTGACCAATGTTCCTGATGTGGTAGGATCAGTTCTGAATCAAAACGGAGATTTCTCGCACACGCACTCGGCAAAATCAAGTTATCACCTATTCTGAGCTCTGGTACTGCGATGGAAGGGTTTCTGGTCTTCGGTCTGATGATGAGTAGCTCCGTTTTATCATCGTTGAGCTTTAAATAGTTGATCCTCATCCAATGACGAATATCAGCGATGCAGCTGCTGATGGCTTGGAGTGTACTCTCGACAGACGACGCAGAGCGTGGTCTGAATCTCAGGTATAGCTGTGTATCATGAGCGTATAGGTGGAAACTTAGCTAATGTCGCCTAGCAATTGTGCCAAGATAGGAGGTATAGATTGTGAAAAGGGTTGGACAAGGGACTGATTCTTGGGGTACTCCAAATGCCAGTTACTGCTTCTGGGACCGTGCTCACAGTCACGGTCACAGTCTGCAAAAGTCCTGTTGACCTAATCCACATGAGGGTATTACTTGTAACACCGACACAATCTTCAAGACGTGTCAACAGGATTTCGTGATCAATCGTGTCAAATGCAGCAGAGAGGTCGAGAAGTACCAACACAGCAGCGCCCATGGAATCCACGGAAGAAAGAACATCGTTCTGTACTCGCAGTAGGGCAGTTTCTGTGCTGTGGTCTACCTTGTAAGTGGATTGAAGGGGTTCGCCGAGACTGTATTTGTTCATGTGCGCCACATCACGTTGCATTAATTTTGATCAGAAGGTCAGATTAGAGACAGGCCTGTAGTTCTTGAGACAGTGAGTCCAAGTGGGGTTTCTTCAGTAAAGGTGTTATCAATGCTTCCTTGAGTGACACTGGAACTTCGTGGTCGAGTTCGAGTCGAGACATTTGAGACGTCTCATTACTTGAGGGTTCTAAAGAGTTGCGGATCTTTGCAATTTTGTCATTGAAATGGTGGCTGAATTTGTCGACAAGAGCAGCAACTGATGAGTGGGAAGGCAGAGTAGTCTGTGTTTTCTTGAGGAGCAAGGCGTTTCCAATCTGAAAGACTTCCTGCAGGATCATCATCCTTCCTGTGGATTTAAGGCGTTTTAGCTTCGGCTGAAATACATGCCTGTGGCTTTGATTTCATTGATAACTCCATATTCACCCATATTATTTTTGCAGCCAGATTCTCTTATTCCTAAATGTAAAGAGAGGTCTGTCTGGCAAGCATTTGTCACACGCCGAAGATGTCATTGATACCGGTTGAGGAGTTTTACACCAACAAAGATAATGACACTCTCTACACCTCTGTGATTGAAGCACTGAAACCGAAGTGTGTTACCGTCTGCCGAAATATGCTGAACTCGTATTAGATTGTGTTGAAATAATTAATAATAATAATTGTCAACATGATCCATTATAGCTTAGTATTTGTTCATAAAATCTGATCGAGATAGAGAGTCATCATATGAGCACAACATGTGAAGCCTATTGCATGTCTCCTGTTGAGATATTGCTGGAATATTGCTAATTTGGAAGATTGCTAAATACTTATTGATCAATAACTCAATGTTCTAACCTTCTGCAGAATTATATGATCTAGCACAAATATTTAATTTTGCTGCATAACAGTTTCTTTATCTACAGTTAGGGTTCGTTGTATGATGACATCAACTTTCACTCATCTAGTAAAGAATGTGTCCAGTTGAACCCTAAAGACAATATGGCAATCTAAGCCTAAGCAGAAACCAAGTTAACATATGTGGATATTTTACGACTTCTGCTGCTAAAACCTTGTAAACCTTAACGAATCACGGGTAAATGGCATAAACATTTTATTAGTATTATTAGCCTTATAGTAAAGATGTTGGAACAGTAGGGACGGACTAGCATGGATTCATAGCACATAACTGGTAGAATAAAACTTTAGCAGTAAGGAGCATTTTATAACCCATCGTGTCCTTATAATGGATAATATGATTGTTTTGTGCTCAGATTGAATAATCTGCTCCATTTACAACAGCACGACCACTTTTCTCACGACCACACACCGAGATGGCGCTGGGCTGCTGTGGGAAGACATTCAGTTGTCTCTTCATCTTCTTTAATGTCGTATTTTCGGTAAGTACATTAGAGCATCGACTTATTTTTACCTTCATTTTATTTACAGTGTTAATCATTTCAGAAGTGTCATTGCTATTCAACACTTAACAATAGCATATATTACTTGCATTCCTTTACTTAGATTACTTTCTTGCAATACAGGTAATCATTGTTATGGTATTGTCCTTGTGTGCCCGAAACTGACATATAAAACATTGTGTGAACTATACGAGTATGTTTGAGTTTATTTAATACAGAGCACAGCTAAAATTAAACAGTTTGCTTATTATTTCTATGAAAGTGAGTGGCGTCATGTTGGGTTAACTCAGTAACAGAAACCTTTAACACCTCAATCTATTATTACTTTATCCTGAGACTTTACCCATGCTAACTGAAGCAGAAGAAGAGTAAATCTGTGATGCTTAACGCAACTAATTGTCTTTATTGGGCAAAATTTTATTGACATATTAAATCATAAAGTCGCCAAGTTTAAGAATACGTAAGTGGTCACACGGTAGCTGAGGGCAGCGACCATTTTCATAAGGATATTTACATCTAATAATGAACATTATTTAAGACCGCTTCATAGTTTCCTGTTACCGTTTCATTGATCATATGGTAACTGAATGCACAGACCATTTTCATCAGGATAGCTACATTTAATAATAAAGATTATTAAAAATCGCTTCATAGTTTCCTATTTCAGATGTCTCCTAATCATGAAATGGATGGATGGTCCTGATCATTGTGTAAAATAAACAAACCCAAATAACCCACCTTAAAAACCGTTATAAGTTTTTTCGCTGTCATGTTTCGCGCATAATTTCTCAATATGTCACTCCATATCCTCTAATTTTTTAGAATGTAAAAAGGTACTTGACTCTTTACAGATTATCGGGGTAGTCACACTAGGAATTGGAATCTTTATCAAGGTTCACCCTTCACCAGCACAGTTCCTAAGTCAACTTGAAGTGGATCAATATGATCAATATATCGACAACAGTGCCTGGATCTTCATTGTCTTCGGTGCCCTGGTGTTGCTTGTCTCATTCTGCGGCTGTGTCGGAGCTTACAATAAGAGCAAGTGCTTGCTGGGAATGGTAGGAACAGAAATGCATTTTACTTGATGGCAGTACATACTCGCAGTAAAACACGGATAATACTTCACATTATTATACAAGCATCATTGTGTCGAAGGTGAAGGGGCCTAGGTACGTACATCCATCGAGTTACCCGGGAATGACTAAAATGACTGTTCGATACATCAAAGTGTGAAAAAGTGTGTTTAGCTGTATATAACAAATAATATTATAACTTCATAGTCCATACATTTCCGTAAATATGTCCGAACACGCTTGATGGATCATAGAACTCTATCCTGATAGTGCAGTATCCAAGCAGGATAAAGGTTCAAATTCACCCCACAGACACACATAATAATAACCTTTGCGTTTTTGCCAGAGCCGTAGCATGTTGATGTCCATTGAGTTTAAGAAACTTGATTTGCTGGTGAAAGTCGCACCTGTCCAAATTACAATTATCATTTATATTTACCTGGAGTAGTTGTTTTTGACGGTCAACTGTTGCCGTGAAATGAATAACTATTCGGGATTTGCAGTGCCAGATAACATGTCGATAATATGATGTTTCAGTACATCGCCTTCTCAGTCGTCATCCTCCTCGGAGCACTGGCGGTCTGGATTTCCACGATCGTCTTCATCGTGAAAGTAGGTCACATTTTACAGAAGTAAATTTTGATCTGTTGAACTCGCGATCGTTTGCCTCGAATTTAATGATACAGATCAAACACCATAATCCGCAAGCGGTGGAGCATTATGGAATGTGTTACACTCTACACTATCATATGCAGCAAATATGTCGTTTTCTCGCTTTAAGTGGTATATAAAATGATCATCACTGACATGTGATTCCAAAGAGCGTCATGCCACTGCTGCCCCTTTTGTTTGATCAAGGCCTCAGTAAAGCTTTCCAGAAGTTTTGTGGTAGACATGCATATGTGGAGGAAAGTTCCAAACTTGATGCATCAGCGACAAAAGTGATGCCCGATGCAATACTCTATTTTGACTTGTACCTTACGTTCTCGAACTATTTCAGGTATACAAAAGACTAGACTTAGCATATGTTTAAGACGGATGCCAGCGGTGGGGCAGGATACGCTCACCTTTACGCGAACACCTGGTATCATCATTATTTCATAGTGATTCATAAACAATCCTCGCTATGGCATGGTGACAATCATTTGATTGTCTAGTCCAGACAGCCTGCTGAAACAGATATACTCAGGGTTTTGTCGCTTCTACTAAAGATGAGCATTTCTCCAAACGTTCCAGGTGTACTCCATTCGGGAAAGCACAGGATCTGTTACAAAAATCTTGCAGACCAAGTACAAGGAGGAGGCTGCGGAGTTCACAAAACCCTGGAATTTTCTTCAGAGTCAGGTGATTTTATATTGGAACAAATGGTAAGGTACTGATATTGGATGAGGAAATCGGTAAAGAGCGTTATGTATCGGCAATATAATCACTACTGTATCAAAAACAAAATCATCTTCCGTGCAGAAAGTTTTGCAGCCTATAAACGGTTTCCATCAACTGGGTCTGAATTTCTCTCCTACATCGTATTAACTTCTTTGAGTTGCATTTTAGAAGTTAGGACGAACAGTATTGAATAAACTTTATTATTATCCATAAAGTTTGTTCAATATTCTCAATTGCATTGTAGATTACGAATTTTCTCCTTTGAATATCCAGTCCCACCTCTAATGTGCCACGACGATCTGATCATTAGTATGTTGCAATAAAGCAGGTCTTTCCTGTGACAAATCACTTGAACATGTTAACCTTGATCGAAATAGTTTCGCAGATATCTAAATTCCAGTCTATTTTTTATAAAGGCAGTCAACTCTCTTCACCCGCGAAAATCGAACTAAATATACATACAGAGCACGTCCATTCGTAAGTTTGTTTACTCATTTAACTTCTAACGGTATTCTTTCATAAATCACTCTCCCTGACAAATGTGTAGGTTGCTTTTACAGTTACAATGCTGTGGCGCTTCCAACTTCACAGATTACCACGTGGTGTTTACCGGCAAGGACCAGGTGTGTATTAAGACATTGAGCCAATGAGTCAGTGAGTGATTGAGTATTGTTTTACGCCGCCGTCAGTGATATTTCTGTAATATCACGGGACCTTAGAAAAGGGCTTCACACATTTACTCTCTGGGGAATAGACCGTGGAAAACGCTTTAACCACTAGGATACCCCACAGTCCCTATGACCTCTTTAACCTCAGACCCGTGAAGGTCCGGGTTAGAATTGATCTTCAGTAACCCATGCTTTTCGTAAGAGGCGACTAACGGGATCGGGTGGTCAGGTTCGCCGACTTGTTTGACGCATGTCATCGTATCCCCATTGCGTCGATCGATGTTCTTGCTGTTAATCACTGGGTCGTCTGGGCCAGACTCGATTATTTACAGACCGTCGTCATATAGCTGGAATATTGCTGAGTGCGGTGTAAAACTAAACTCACTCTTTAACTTCAGCGAAATATTTGTGAAAAATTCTCTTACATATTACCATTTTTTGGTTTCTGATTGTAAGTCGTATTAAATGTTTTTATGTTAACTGTCCATGCTATTTCGTTATAGAATTGATTGACGTTCTGATTGCGTTTTGAATGTATCTTGCCAAACTACGTCTAACCACGAGAATTGTGGCATTCCCCTGCATATTTGTGAAAACAACAAGCTTATAGTCAACCCATCGTTTGGCAATACCAAGTCGAAGTCAAAGAACGATTTCTCGTTTCAACGAAAATAAAAGGTCAACACGTAAAATGTCGACATGATAATAGATAATAAATATTTAATTTATCAAAGATAAACAACAGTCACAGTAAAGCAATTAGTCCAGATAAACAATGCTGCATACAGTGAATGTAATTTGTAATAACTTGTTTTAAAGGGAAAAGTGCCCAAAAGCTGTTGCATGTCCTCTGACAACCACCCTGAAGCTCCAAGCATTGCCTCCTGCCCAGAGTACACTGACGTAAGACACGAACGTATTATGCATTAAATTGGGGAGATATTTTGGACGGGTGTATGTTGATAACGGTGACTCATTCAGCGATATGCATTTTATGCAAAATACATACATACATACATACATACATACATACATACATACATACATACATACATACATACATACATACATACATACATACATACATACATACATACATACATACATACATACATGATATATAAACTGTCTTATTTGTACACTAGAATAATTTATACATACAGCAATTTCGCTTTGCTGTATATGTAGTGTTCTTAATTGTTATTATTTACACAATCGCAATACTAAGCCCCTTGAGCTCTCCTGCTTGAATAGCTTTCAGCAACATTACCATTGTGACGACATTAAACATCATATCTACACAGATGTCTGTTATTTGCAATACATGTGCCTGTTTTCCGTCACGTTTTATGGTAGACATGTTGGCGAATGGTATCTGACGAAACTTGAAAAATCAAATAGCATGATTTCATGAGAGGTATGTAATGTTAGTAACAAATCTAAAATTATTTTACTCGTCTCCGTCAAATACTTGTGTATTTCAAAACGTTTCAGATTCGATTTAGCTATTTCTAATTAAACCCATATCTAACGGTGACTAATTCAGCCATATACAGTTTATGCAAGATGTTACTTATCAATGATCTTGACCAGATCCAACATGAAGGCCTTGCAGGACCTTGTTAATCATAATGATGATGCTCACATGTATGTTGCAGGGTTGCATGCGGAGAGTAGTAACGATCCTACGTCATTACACCAATGTGCTTCTCGTTGCTAACATCATTATAATTGTGTTGGCAGTAAGTATTTCATGTTGACTAAAAATTTGTTTGTTTTGTTAACATGTCTTACATATAAGACATGGCTCACATGTTTGAGAGAATCCTATAAAATGTACGAAACTATATGTATTCCTTTTTCTAAAGATATTATGGTGGATGTATTTCCATCCTTTCACGATCCGTGACCCAGGTTGGAATTGCTCTTCAGCTTGTCGTAAAAGGCGACTAACGGGATCGGGTGATCAGGCTCGGTGACTTGGTTGACACGTCATCGTATCCCAATTGTGTTCATCGATGCTCATGGCTTACCTAGAAAAACAACAAACGAAATTACATTTCAAGCTATTTGTTGGATATAATAATAAATAATTATGAAGTTAATATTTACATAGCGCCTGTTCCCATAAATTGCTCAGAACATCTCGGTCAAAGCCAGTGTCAAGAAGCTGTGTTTTTAGCAGTTTTTAGACAATGATGACTGACTGACGAACTGAAAATATGCTCTTTGACACACTGACTCACTTAGAGAGATTAATTCACTTATCCCTTTTGTTTTCGTATTATTAGCATTCATAGCCTTTGCAAATGCCAGACTATGTTGTTTTACAGGAATTTTTCCAATGAAACTATATGTCCGTAGAAACTAAAGGATGTCTCTAAATGAAATCCAAGAACAGTTCATGTATTCGACTCTAAAATCGGTGAAATCTGTCTGTCCTTACTTTACAGGTGCTGATGTATTTTACAGCAATATATGAAATTATGCACAGTTTAATGTCTACTTTTTCAGATAATTGGGATCATTATTGCAGCATGGCTCTGCCGAAGAGGTGACGAAAAAGATGATTATTCCACTTTGTAATAATTATAATAGAAATCTTCTTCTATTTACCCAACAAGGGTTAGAAGTTGAACGAAGGTTGAGAGGATAGGTGGGGTGCTTATGGCGGGGCCGGGGGTCGAAACAAAAAACTGGGGCCCCAAAAAACTGTTTTATTTCTTTGAGTGTCATTTTCGGAGTTGGGAAGTACAACACTGACAAATGTATGTGTCTTTTATTTGTGAGTGGGACGTTTCGATAGATTCTTGTACCGCTGAAATTTTGGGTAGACATCTTAACGAGCACTTAATTCCAGCTACTCTGTTCTCATTAATTATGTGAGGTGTGTACTGTAAACATTAAATTAATAAAGTGTACTTTCAACATTTGTTACTGGTTGACCAACATGTTCTTCTTGTCACTCGTGTATGAATCAGAATTCCTCGTTCAATGCACATGGTGGTATCGAGCGTCAATTACTGCCACTAACGACACATACCAGATTGCTTTACATTTATATGCGCATTCTTCTTTTGAGTTCGCTGTTTTCGACAGCAATTATGTTACAGTTTCATTCGTTTTATGTTTAGATATTCTTCTTGTTTTTAAGTATTTTCCTATGAACATAATTAACATGACTGGTTGGCATGTTTTACTTGTTTTTGTGTGTTTATGATAGTGGTCTCATTCATTGATGACGATACATGATGTCACTTTATAATACTGATTCATGGATGCGTGCTCATGAAACACTCAGAATTACACAGTTGAAACTTTTAGTAGCGAGTTCTTGAGTGTGTGGAATGGTTTTGGCGTATTCTGTTCTGTTTTTCTGTTACATTGTTTAAAGTGAATCCCACAGTTCGCGGCCTTATACATAAAATCGTTGAAACATGAACAAATGTCCACAGTTTATTTCAATGTTATATCATTATCTTCAACAGACCCTCCAGCGTTGCGCTTTTTTAGGTTTCTTCCTCAGAAAGACATAGGCGATGGCAAACATCTTGCCATAACACGGTTAACGTTTAAAAGAGCCACGTGGTTTCATGGGAATGTAAAGGCATGGGGAAGTAATTCAAAGACACAATTTGCAGGTGAATCCATTGTCAGCTGTGACGTGTGTACAGGCACTGTCTTGTAGCAAAGGAAGGAAGCTTCCGTAAAAGCACTTCTGTGGCCCCAAATGCCAATTTAAGATAGAAAGTGATAATCATTACCCAACTGTTCTAAAACAAAACCCTGTACGACTTTGGCACTGAGATCTGTAGTAATTTGGATGAGATGAAGCCAAACGTTCCTAGGTCTGTTTTGAAGTTTAGAATCCGGGTCAAGGTGAACATCCCACCCTGGATTACAGTGAGTATGGTTTTACGCCGCTTTTAGCAATATTCCAGCAATGTCACGGCGGGGGACACCACAAATGGGCTTCACACGTTATACCCATGTGGGGAATCGAACCCGGGTCTTCGGCGTGACGAGCGAACGCTTTAACCACTAGGCTACCCCACCGCCCCCACCACCCTGGGTTATAACTGCATGAGTGGATATATCAGGGCCAAGAATCCATCGATATATTCCAAAGAATAAACATTTTATCTGTGTTGTGCGGTCAAGCAACTCTGGAAATTTCCTTTTCTTTTTCATTGAACATTCCATAATTTTGTAGCTTTTAAAGTAAACTTGAACACACCTGAGATGTCGAGAATGTGAAAATAATAAAAGTAACGAGAAACGACGAATCCTATTAGGAAAAAATGAGAATATTTATATGAAAACTAAACTGAAATTATCAATTGTAACCAGAGGTGTTCCATGAATGAAATCAACATGTGTCTAATGGCTTCAATTACTAATTCAGTTTGCAAATATGTTTGTTGTTGCCCATTATAATCAAGGGATTCGCTTATCCTGTTCTTTTGCAACATTCGCAATGGTTCCCTCCATTATACCCAGGTTGTCAATGACTTCATTAATGGCATGTCTGTTGGCTGAAATTTGAAGTCTGGGTGTGTTCGGAATAGATATTTCTTCGAATACTGTGTGAGCTAATCCCAACTGATTGTCTGCTTATGCTCGTCTAGTATGTCATTATACAGTTAGTATATATGTCTTATTATGAAACAAACAAAAATAACAAAATAACGGGAATTGTGAAATGGTCACTCAGAGCCAGAACCTCTACTGATAAGTCCAAATAAAGAATTGGTCAATTTGAGGCCACTTAATTCCACCAAAATGTCACAGATGAAACCATTCAAACCCACAAATCGTAACGCATTTGGTAGAATATTTGGCACTTTTGGAGCCACTTATAAAGATACTCCTACTTGTAAAATGTTACATGAAACCAATAGAAATAAAAGTATATTTGGCACTTTTAGAGCACATTTTTTCGCTTTGGCAATCAAGGGCAGAATAATGCAAAGGGAGCTAAC